GGCCGCAGCTGCCGCCTCCCCCCTTCCTCCGTGCCGTGCGGGGAGCCTGGGGCAGAGCTGGGAGAAGGTGCCTAGTTGCCTGCCCCGCCACGGGCTCTGCCGGGTGCGGGGGCTCCCGCCTGTACCCGAGGCGCTCCCAAATGAACCCTCTGCCCGCGACCCTCCGGCGAGCTGCACCCCGTGCCTGCGGTGCCGCCACGGCTCCTTCAGCACCTCTCCCATCTCTCCTTAATTTCTTTCCCCTCTCCGGGTCCCAGCTCGCTGCTCTGCCCTCGCTCTGGGGACGCCTCTCTCGTGGAGGGGTGACTCGCTGCGCTCCCGCCGGCTTCGCGCCGCAGTGCCCGGGCAAAGCTGCTGCAAAGGGTGTTTACCGGGCAACTTCAGCGCCGGGAAATTGTTATCAGCACTTATGAGGGTAGCTAAAAAGTAAGGAGGTAGCTGGCCAGTTGTAAAAAATAAGACATGGGGAGACTATTCCAAAAGCCACCCTGGTCTCTGCTCTCCCTAGTATTTGGCTCCTCTCATTGTTATTGTGGCCAGGACTCTTCTGGAGGAGGTGCGTTCCCGTTCCCAGGCCTTGATCACCTGCCTCCTTCGCCGTCGTTTGAGTGACACGCTCCATGCCACTCAGATGCGAGGCTTCCCCGAGGGGAGGAGCTGACTTTAAATTTAGCAATAAGTAGCCTCAGTAGTTAACAGGATCCGTGTACAGCTTATGTTTTCATGCAGATCTAAGCCTCAGCAATGCGTTTTTCTTTGTATGAAAACTTGTTCTGCTGCTACCACCCGAACCTTAGTGTCCTTCTAGATCTTAAACCCTTTGGAACGTAAACTGTGGGGAAACTCTTGGACCCGATTCCCCTTTGTGAGCGGCTGTGCGGAGCAGCGAGGGTAGGAATATCTGTGTTAGGCTCATGTGACTTCCCTGCTGCTGTGCCGCTGAAGCGCATCGCAGCCTCGCCATGGTTATCTTTGCAAATAGGCTGGTTAGCCTTGAAGTTCTTCAGAGAGACCAACACACTCTCCATTTTGTAGACAGAAGAAATAGAGGCAAGAAATTGAGCCTGTCCAGGACTGCG